GAGATGAAGGACATACAGGTGGCTTTCATAACCTGTCCTTCCCCTCAACTGGTACAGGGGAGACCGCCCACGTTGACGACAAGCTATAGTAACTACCTGAGAACTGACTGAGGTACTAGGAGTACGAGTGCCTCTAAACGCCAGTAGCAGAGGTCAGAATGTGCTTCCAATCATAGAGAGACAAAAGGACCTCAGTGTGCAGCAGGAATCTGAGTCGGGAGCCGAACTCAATGAAGGTCAATAGTTTGGAATGCTACGGAGCAATCTTTGTACACTGTAAATATGTGTTACTCCAGTTCTTAATAAAAAGGTGACTGGTCCGTGGTTAGGCAGGATAAGGTTAGGCAGAAGAACTAGACTAAGAGAATGCTGGGGAGGAGGAGGAGAAGTCGGAGGAGACGCCATCAGACGCAGAGCGAGCAGGATGGGAAGTCTGTACGTGAGGTAAATGAGCCTCGAGGCAGCACAGAGATGAAAAGAAATGGGTTAATTTAAGTTATAAGAGCTAGCTAAAAACAAGCCTAAGCTTTCAGCCAAGCATTTATAATTAATATTAAGTCTCTGTGTGGTCATTTAGGAGCAGCTGCAGGGACACACAGAAAAGTCACCTACACTTGGACTGACTGCACCTTTCTTCACTGGTCCTCAAACTCCCCAACAGAGTGACAGAGTACCTTGTCATAATTCACTGCTTTCGTCACTCACTGTAAACTACGGTCAGGGAAAGTTGTTTCCTCCTTAATAAAACACTATTTCCAAGCCAGTGAGATGGCTCAGCAGGTAAAGGCACTTGAGGACCTCAGTTCAATTCCTGGAACTCACATAAGGGTAAAAGCAGGAAATCAACTCCACAGACTTTTCCTCTGACCTTTACATGCATGCCATGGCATGCACATTCACACACATCCTGTACACATGGTAATACTTTTTTAATTGAAGAAAAAAAGCAAATATTACAAGTTAATGATAATAATTTCTTTGATGTTGGCTTCTCTGTTGGTGGTAAACTTTGTCTTTTGTTGTTTGTGTTTTTCTATTTTGAGACAGGGTCTCATTATATGGCCCAGGTTGTGAACTCATGACCCTCCTGCCACCATCTCCCCAGTGCCAAGAATACAGGTTTGCATCACCACGCATGGCCTTACAAATGTATCTGCATCTCCACAAACCTATGAGCACGCTCTTGTAAGCAATACACCTAGTAGCTGGATTGCTGGACTAAAGGGCATAAATATACTCAATTTGATAAATAACAGACAGTTTTCTAAAGATGTTGTCCCTAGTGACACTCCCAAAATGAGTAAGATAACGTCTTTTATAATTTAACATTTGTCAGCAACTTCTAACTGTAAAGCAGATACACTGGAGGAAGGATGAATGAAGTAGCATATACAGCAGATACAATGGAGGAAGGGTGAATGGAGTGTAGCATATACAGCACAGATACACTGGAGGAAGGATGAATGGAGTGTAGCATATACAGCAGATACACTGGAGGAAGGATGAATGAAGTAGCATATACAGCAGATACAATGGAGGAAGGGTGAATGGGGTGTAGCATAT